CACTGTGTAACCAGGGCAGTTCCATCACCTCTGCCGGTTTACTAAAAGTGGGTAGACTTTCTCTTAAAGATGTGTTTAAATCAAGGCCTACTCCCTTGAACACAAAGGCTGGCTAGACCAAAGGCACGGTGCCGAGTTGTACACCTTTTGAGACCCTCCTGGAGGCAGCCGTTTCACTCACCCTAAATGAACAGCCGACTTCAGAAAAACGACATCCATCTTTGTTGATAAACGGTTCTGTTGAAAAAAAAAAAAAAAGGAAATAATCAAATACCAATTGAAAGGGATTCTTTTATTTACCTACAAACAACTAGGCCATAATCCTAGCAGCTATACATCAGGTTAATTCAAGTCAAGGCATTACCACAGATTACAGCATCCAACCAGCTTTGAAAATTCATTGGTAAATCAATCAGTCGTGTGGTTGATTCCAAGTTTCTTGCATGCAGCCTGGCAATTAAGTGTCCAACAGACTCCATAACGATATAACATAATTTAACAAACCACAGCGATCCCCTAGCAACAACTTCTCATAAATAAGATGCCAATAAGCAAAGTGGCCCACCACAGTGGGTAACACCACACACACAACCACTCCAACCCTCTTCCTGCTCTTAGAGAACGCACACAAGAGCCGTGTCGTGCAGCACATCCTGGGAATGAATGGATCTATCAGACCAAAAGCTCTGACTGATGTTCAGATTTAGTCCTCTTCACACCCAAAAGCGTGTCTCTTTAAATATGCTGCTGTACAGCCTACTCTTCTTTTGCTCATGTGGGTCTCCCCGAATATTTGAAAGGAAACGAACATTTCCCCATTTCTGTAGGATTGATGGAGAAATTAGTTTAATAAAGTTAATTGTGGGGGCAGGACAGAGAAGGTAGTCAGCAGAGCTATGCTGGGATGTAAAAAGCACCCAGATACAACTGCCATATCTGAAGTTGTTCTCCGATGTTCATTTAATCTAAATGAATAAGTGATGCTATTATGAATTGAAATAAAGCTGTATTGCATTCACTTATCTTTTACTCACCTTTTCCTTTGATGGTGTTTCTGTTTGCACACATTTTTGTTCCTTACATAAATTGCCTTCACATGAATGTTCCTGTCGTTAAAACAAGAAGAAAAGAATTCAGTACATTATTAAAACCGTTGAGCACCTTTATTTAGGAGTCTTTGAAACAAAGCTTGTGTTTAGAATGCTATTCCCATTTTACAGAAACTTGCGGATTTGGGAGGCTTTTCTACAAGAAATTCTGTGTTATGGAAGAAAAAATTTACAATTAGTTTCTTGCTTTCTTCCTGGAAGGTGTGGATTTAAGGCAGAGTAGAGGAAGGAAGGGTAACTTCCCCAGGAGCACTACAAGCTCCACAACGCACGGTGCAAAATCCTGTACCCCTGCCCAGAGACTACACAATAGGCTGCAGAGTGCTCTGGCTTCTTTTTAGAGGAAATAATGTTCAGAAATTTGGGACTAAAGCATATCTGCTAAAAGCAGGTGCTACTGTCCCCTGTACAACGAATTGTAGACTCCAGAGGTTTCTCGAGCTAAGCCTCTGAGCTGATTACTCTTCTTCTCAGCATGTTCAGTGATGGATCTCCAGATGCAATACCTCTTAAGTGAAAGTACCAAGCGGGATCTTTCGCTTATGGGGCCTGGAGCTTTGTGAAACTGCTGACAGATCCTTTGCAAGGTCACCCTGGGAAATTTGATACAAGACTGGCAATGTACAAGTCTTGCCCAGTTCAAACTATAGTTATGCGCATACACACACACACACACATATATATATATGCAATGACATGCAGGTGGATTACAGAACAGAAAGCAAATCTACAGGAAACCCAAATATAAACTCTTCTTGCATTGACTTCATATAATTTGCTTAATGCACAGACCCTTCTTGCATCCTGCTTATTAACATTTTGAAGGCTGGAATCCAAATTTTCCATCACGATGTGCTAATGCAAAACGCATTACCGCTAACACGAGACTTCCTGCCATTTCTGGCTCCAAGAATGGTAAAGTAATCCTCCTGCCATTGGTTCATACAACTGTAATACGTGTATTTAACACGGCAACTGCCAGCTTTCAATTCATACTGTGCAGGGGACTGTCTTTAATCTTTACAAACACCTTTGCAAGCCAGTACATTTCCTATAGCAGTCTAGAAGTTTTTTGATAAAGCCATTCCAGCAACCTTCAAGTCTCCCCTGCAAAGAGTCCCAAAGTTTCTCTTTCAATCCTCAGAAATACAGCCATAGGTTTTTCTCACTCCTTAACTCATTTTTTAATAATCTGTAGCTTAGCTATTGCACAAAGTATGCCTGTATTTTCTTTCTTTCTTTCTGCTATTTGACTCCTTCAGATCACTGATTTCTTGAGGGAGAGAGAGGCTGGTAAGAAGTTGCTTTAAAATACGGAAATGCAAAAATCACAAGACCAATAACTGATCGGCTAAGATGGAGAGATTGAGAGCGGTGCCCAAAATTTACTCTTTGCTCCCCAAGGATTGTGGATACATGGAATACACACAAATAATCAACTTTCTTATGCCACATAACTGCAAATTTAATAAAGCAGATCATGTAACCAGCAAAATTCCAATTTTACAAATACTAATTAAGGCAGGCAGAGAAAAATCAACATCTCAAGGCCAATCCCCTGCTTGGTTGCCAAGGTTTTCTAACAAAAAAAATTAATTAGATGATAGCTAACCGGAATGAGTGGGAGGAAAATGGTTCTTCATTGCAGGAAAATGAAGCCTGCTGAGGTGGATCTGCGGTATCACAGACCTCTGAAGAGAGAAAGGTGCTCAGGGAACACTCCTGCCGCTCAGGTTTGCTCCTCCAGCCTGCCCGCTGCACTTACAGAAGGCTGAAAGGGATTAAGTGTTGCCACCTTCTGGTATTTTCTGTCTCTCTGAAACATACCCTGTATTTAGCACTCGTACAATGTGCCTGGGTCCAGATGTTGTCTCTCTGGAAGAGTTAGTAAGATATGAAGAGCACATGCAAAAGCTTCCCAAGAAGCATGTTTTAGCAAGAGCACCTTATCCTTACCCCAGAGGGACTGTTACCCCCATATTGAGTAAATCCTACAGCTCAGCATTTGGAAAGGCATAAATTTGTGACAGTTACGACATGCAAAGCTGTCCGCTAGTATTTACTTCAGGCTACATTTCTGAGACACAGCCCTCCTGCCAGGAGGTCTTATATCACTGTGGCCCAGTTCCAGGGCAAAACTCCAAGGCTGGCAATTAATGCTCTTTAAATCATCTGGAGGGAACAATATTCATTATGCTACACCCCAAAAGAGTGTTGCCCCAGTGACATTTTCTGTGATAACAGAGCCCACAGGCTCTGAAGTTAGGTGGGGCTGGGATGAGAATGTTTTCAGGGCTTTCACATCAAAACGCACATAGCAGCGTTAGCAGGCGTGGGACGTCTCTCATTCATGCTGCTATTGCTTTGCTCCAGGAGTTTTTAATCACTAAATGTCCTAAACAACAGAAGATGCACTTCCGTGATGAGGTTGAGAAGCACGCCACTGAAGCTGTATCTTCGGCAATTTATTCGTACAAGAACAATTTTCTATCGCTTTTCATCTGCCCCACCACACTGTTTCCTTCTCCAGTGACACAGAGTGGTTTCTATTAGCTCACTTTATGCCCTCAGACCATTCCCAGAATTTGTACCATGCTGCATCTACAACAATAGGTAAAAATAAAGAGCACTTTTTATTTAAGTTAAAATTAATGTACAAAGGCACTTAAAATCTGCAAGTCAGTAACGCATAATGTTGCTCTGCTATCACAACTGTGAGCATTGACCGAAAAAGTCATTACTTTTAAGAAAGAATGCAATGGGTTTAGTAACATAAACAAGAGGATTTTGAGCAAATGCTGGGGACAGACTAGCGTTACCCAGTGTGGGTGTGTATATATATACAGGGTATATACAGATACATTTTTGCAAGTCTCTGTCACTACAGTGAGAAACACAACTTCAACATAAAAAATATAAAGCAGTCACCGAGAAATTTGCGGGAGATTCAGAGTATGCTCCTCCTGGGCTATGTGGACACTGCTGCTAATTTGGAGTTATACCTGATCATATCTCAGAAATACTGTCAAAATCCTGCCTCACACATTTGTGGGCAGTTTTAGTTTGAATAAAACTCCAGCCACTTTCAAGATCTCTTCCATGCCACTGTCTGCGTTCTTCTGCTTCTTACCTACCTCACGCTGCGACACATGCTTTGGGACAGGAGCTGAAGCAGGGGCTGCCCAAGCCCTGGCTGAGCACACAGATATTCCCCCTCTCTGCTGTAACATCGCAAGCAGACTATCAAATACAGCTCATTTTTTCCCTCCAACACATGCACAGAACAATTTGCAAACTCAGGAAAATTAAATATTCTCCAAGTCCAATAGCATTCATGAAATCAGGATGAAAAATGTCATGATAGATGATTTAAGCCATTAATAGAAAGCTCTCATTTGAAACTGAGAAATGTTCTTACTTGGTATTCACTGCTGGATAAGCTCCGCTTACACTTCTGACACATTGTCACATTATTAACACATCCATTTTCCAAATGATCTGCAAGTTTCTTTCTCATCACCATGTGTCCACAACCAGTGTGACAAGGGATTAACGCATATTCACATAAGCTCTGATGCTCCTGGAAGTAAAAAGTTATAAACCCAAATGTAAACTGCAGCTACTTTATCTGTAAATAGTCTCCACTCTGCCAGCCTAGATCTTTGCTTTGCATTTCTAAGCTTGGGTAAAGTCCCACCCCACAATGTTACTGAGATTACTGGTGAAAAATTCACCAACTTTACTGGGGCTTTTTTGTTAATTCTTAACTTAAAAAACCAAACCAAACCAAACCCAAACTTTTGATAAATTCAAACATGAGGTCTCCCTTGAACTGTCTCTCTAGTGCTTTTGTTTGAAAATAACATGATCCTGGTCCCAGTTTTTTGCCTGGGGTTTTTTGGGGTGGGGTTTTTTTGTTGTTTTTTTGGGTTTTTGTGGGGTTTTGGGTGGGGGATTTTTGAGCACTGAGACCATCCTGCTCTGGCTGGTAGGATGAATATGGTTAGTCTGCTGACATCTCTGCATAGCATAAAAGAATGGACATCTGACACCTTCTATGCAACAATTAGGAAACAAACCCTACCTATATTCAAACATATATTTTAAAACATTGCCTTTTCACTGTGTGCATCCTCTCATCTCAACAAGGAAAAATATCAGCATTACTTCTTTCATCCAACAGGTCTACTTTCAGATTCTTCCAAGCACAGTATTTCAATAAAATCTCTTTACTGACCTCTTTTACTGAAGCTTCTGCAGGCACTGTGTCACAACTGATTTTGTCTTTAAAGGGAGATGGCTGTGCCCTACAGAACAGGCTCAGAAATGCCAATTTCAATCACACGCCCAACTCTCAAACCAATTTTGCCATGTATTCATGCTGAGAGGGGCTCCAGTTCTCAAAACTATGAAGCTAAGCAAACTGAGTAGTTTTTTCCTTAAAGAGGAATACACGCAAACAGAAAATTTGTGCCAAATGTGCAAAGAAAAGGCAGCAGCACCTCAGATGCTTATCAGCTGCACAGCCATACAAGGTACAGAGCAGACTCCCTGTTATAAATGCAGAAAAACCCTCTGTTCCTACACCAGGGGACCAAAAGTGAGCTGCTTTAGTATCAGAATTATCTGCATTTTTTCATTATTGTAATTTGCATGGCAGATTCGCAGATCTTGCCCATTTAAATATTTTACCTGGGGCATTTCACATCAGTCTGAAAAAAATTACGAACACACTCAATCAATAGGAGTCATTTACACAGGAAGAAATTATTTCTCTTATAAAAACATACTAAGGATATTGCCCATAACAATGACATAACATATCGCCCAGTCCTGGAGTATTCTGGTCTGTCAAAACCTGCTTGTAGCATCCTTGCATTTAAATAATAAGTAAACCCACTGGAAAAAAAAAAGTAATAATAGTTGATGTAAATTTGTGCAACATTAATTTCACAATCATTCAGCATGTTCTGGATTTGGTCAAAGCCCTACTAAAGCTAATGGCATGTTTTTAGATAGTCTGTTGGTACAAATCAGGATACCTTCGCTGATTCGAATGAAGTTGCGTTAATTTGTGTTTGCTGAGAACCTAGTTTCATTGTCATTCTGTCCCCATTCAAGTAAGAGTGCTCGTTAATTTAAATAAATTGCCTTTAAACGTACTTCAAAATTTTTCATGATACCAGACCAACTGCATCCAAGGGTCACACAGTGTACTTTGAGTTCAGAAATCTCTTTATTAATGGCAGCATCACCAAAAGCCTGGAAAGTAAACACAGTAAGGAAAAAAACTCTGGTCAGAAAGTACTCCAGCATGCACTTTTGACATAGGAATAAGGTGACTGTGTCAAAATTTCAAATCTTGATAAATCCCTCCTTATTTTTTTTAAATTTACTATCCTGCCATATGACTCTGCATATTAATCTCGGTGTAGTAGAAACCCAAATAATTATTAAATAATTTTTTTCATATGGTTCAAAAAAAACCCTATTTGATGTGATCTAAATATACTGAAAATATGCCTAGGCAACTACAGCTATTATTTAAGTTTCTTTTCACAGAAGCACATGCAATGAATGTGCTGACAGGACCCTAACTATAGGGTGCTGCCATGTGCCAGTCTTAATGAATGCATTTCATTACTGCGGTCATTAACACCTCCTAAACGTGCTGCAGGGAGGACTCGAGACTGTTCTGCAGCGAGAGTACATTTCTCAGACCATGGCTGTTTCCATTTAGCATGGCACTATGTACTAAAGAAATGTAAAACATATGTGAATGGTTGTGGGGTTTTTTTGCACTACGTAGATTTTTTTATGATGTTAACCATGAAGAATTGTAAATTATTACGTAAATTATGAAACACTACACGCTTTGGCTATTTCATTTGGCACAATCAAAATAGGTACACTGACACAGGTTCAAGCCCTACGGAAGGTAATGGCATCTTTTTAGATACTCTGCTGGTACGTACACCTTACAGAGGACTGCAGATTTCCCACGTAACACTACACAGAGCAAGGGAAGAACTGGAGGGAGAAGCTTTACAAATAGAGGGAGGAACAGTATTTACAAATGATGCTCACATTTCAATAAAGTTACTGAATTTCTACACAACAAGCTAAAAAAAATAAGCAAACAAAATCATCAGAATCAACATTCTTGATTGGTTTTTTTTCAGCTAGATACAAGATGTTTGTACTTACCTACATTTGTCATATTAAATCACACAAAAAGCACAGCCAGTGCTACCAATTAAGATACATTTCTATATGCAAGGTCTCATAGAAACTCCTTTCCTAATCTCAACCTGCAAGCAAGTCCAGCCCAGAAGAACTTAGCACACAAATGGCAAACAATTCCACAAACAAGGAATTAAAAAAAAACCCACGTAGGTTGTACAAAACCATGCACTGCTCCATCTGCATATATGGAAGAGTTTATGTATTAAGCTAGCAATCAATGTACAGTTAGTGAAAGCATACCAGCCTAGCCTCTAAAACATTCTAGTCTAATTTATGAGCAAAATCAAAGAGCAGAAATTCAAGTTATCAGGCACATGGTGGCTTTTTCCCCGTGTCATAAAAGAAAAACTCAAGGAATTTCCTGACATTACAAAATAGATCATTTAAAACATATTTAACTACAGGGACAGTCCTGGCAGTGCATAGGTTTCTTACTGCTATGTGCACTCCCTGTGCTTTTTGTTTCACACTCGTAGTTGTTAAATCGTTATGGACACTACTCAGGTCGTGGCCAGGTTGGATGAGGCTTTGGGCAACCTGGGCTAGTGGAGGGTGTCCCTGCCCACGGCAGGGGGGTTGGAACTAGATGATTTTAAGATCCCTTCCAACCCAAACCATTCATTCTATGAAAAACCAAGGCAGGAAATCCTCTTCTCTTCTTTTATCCACACAGGTCACTGCTTCAAAATATTCACCAGAACGTCTGCTGTCTTATCTGGGAACCTGAGTTTGCCCAGAACTTCTGTAGGGACCTGAGTCAGACCCTCATACAGTAAATGAGATGACTCTCACTGATATGAACGTGTTCTGGGTCAAAGAGAAGGAAACAAAATATTTCTCTCTGATTTGATATACTGTAGTTGCACATCTCCCCTCTTTCATTTTAGCTACTTCAAAGGAAGATGTTGGTGCTGCTGATCGTGGGTGGCTGTCATGGCACACGTATCTGCCCAGTCCTGCCTGTCCCAGAGCTGACTGTGACACAAGCGGAGGTCCCCTGACATGTCCCATCCAAGAACCAGTGCCAGACACAAGGAGGAGAGATCCTTCCTGGCACTCTGACCCACACGATGTGCATCTTATGGCCTCTAGCTCAGAGAGGACTCTGGTCTACAGCTCGTGGTCAGGAAGATCAGCTAGCAACAAGCTTAACAAATGGATCAATCCCACCAAGAGCTTTCCAGGATAAATCTAGTGGTTATTTTCTCTCCAACAAAGGTCGGCCCTCTGCAGCTGAGCTGGGATCTTCAGCTGCTCTAACACAGCCAGGGAGGGGAGAGCTCCAAGTGATTCATGCTCAGTTCAGAGCAGAGAACTGTCCCCTAAGCTGGTCCCACGAATGACAGCAGCGAGGGCGTGAGCAGAGGCTTGGGAGGGTGCCCCCACTCCTCTGACTGCTTTCCATGGCAGATGCAGATGCTCGGTAAGCAATACTGATGACCAGGACCATGATAAGACTTGAAGTGTTATGAAGACTGTATGTGTTGTATAGGAAGGGATCATAAATTAAAAGTGTAATAGGAAAGGGATGGGAGTTACCACAGAAATAGATCATGGGATACGCTAAGGCAAGTTCACATCCTGATAGGGCCTTTCTTTTCCTGTAGGTATCTTATTTAAAATACAAACACATAAACAGACAACATAGAAAATAAACATTAAGCAAAACCACAGCAAAGGTAAAGCAGAGATTATCAGGAATAGATATAAAGAACAAACCCGTTAAATGATCTTCATCATTCATGTTGTTTACAAACTCCGACCATTTGTTGTAAGCTGATCTACACAGGCAGAACCTCATGCCTTTGTGGTGACTGATTTCATCTGGACTCTCAACAGGCGTGAGAATCTGCCCAGGCAGATCAGCTTGCAAGAGTGGGGCCCCGTTTACAACAACGCACCCACAGATTAGGCATAAAGTCCCACCAGATTAGTGAGAATCCCACAGCAGAGATATCCCAAAGTTATAAGAGAACTGTACCTATTAGTGGCTACATGATGCATGAAATTCTGTTACTGGGAAATTTATTGTAGAATTGAGGATTTTTTCTGAGGTGTTACCAAGTTCAACACTAACTGCAGGTTCATTATTTTGCTGCAGCCGCTTCCTAAACTTCATCTTTTACCTCACTGCCAGCTGCCTATTTGGTTTCGTTTTTTCCTAACAAATTTAGACAGCATGTCTGTCTCTTGGTGTTCCTGCATGTAGTCAGAAAGGAGGAAAAACGACAAGCTGGGACTGAGCCCTATGGCCCAGTTTGTATTCAGGATATAGAACGGTGCAGTGGTCTGCCTGGAAAATCACACAACAGTAAAAGAGATCCGCACTGTTAAATCACAGAGTAAACATTTCCCAGTGCATAGTTTTTATCAATTACTATGTTCAGCTTTATGTTTTCCACTATTTCCTCCAAAAAATACTTTCTAGGCAATTCAGCTGGCTAGCCGGTACTCCAGCTTATTTCTTAGGGATGCTCCTCCTGTGAGTTTGGTAATACGTTTGAGGAGTATAGAGAACCATGAGATTGCAAAATCCACTAGGATACTTACTAAGGATAGTATGTAACAGCTAATACATATTATTACAAGTAGGAAAGCACTGGCTACTTTGAGACAATGAAAAGTTAATTTTATGGAAGAGCATGGGATTTTATGTTGCAGAACCTGACGGACTTAGAAAGTCCTAAGGCCGTCATTATACTTTTTTAAATCCAAAACTGTGGGAAATCCAAATGATTAAAGCGTAAGTTAAAATGTGTAACTATCAGTTGCTATCACATTTTCTGTTAGTCCCTCCTAAACTGTAGTCCAACAATGACTATAGAGTAGCACAGAGAATGGTTAATGATAAGTTAATGAACTGTGAACTACAACTTACCCTTTCTTCTGCCAATAGGCTTTCCTCACTTAAAGTGCTGGGATCTTCCTCTTTACATTTCTGGCAAATTGCATTTTTATTGTTTCTGGTAAAAAGAAAGAAGAAGGAAATATCAATCAGCTGCTGTACTGTAGTTTAGGAGGGCTTTGTATAGACACTGACACAAATAAAACCATGGAAATTGTCATCTCCATCAGAAACCATAGTCCTTGTTCATTAAAAGGCCAATTCTTGAACACACTGACATCAAAAAAACCCTGCTGTTCTATTCCTCAAGACTAGGACTAGGCCCTTAAATCTTACCTGTATTTCAGCAAAATAAGAGCAGCCTGGATCATAAAAAAGAATAAAGATGGGAACCTATGTATTTCATCAATTATGCAAAAACACCATGTAGGAAAGGTAACATGAAAACTAAAGCCTTTTAAAACACAGAAAATGCCCAAGATAGATATATAGACTTCAAATTCCAAAGATATAGCAGAACCAGTGCAGAACAGAGTTCTAGAGAGTGAACATCCTACTGCAGCTAAAAAAGGTTTTGATCTACTCTCAAAACACTTAACAAAGAGCTGTCCATAGGAAAAGCAAAAAATAAAACTTTACTAGAGATGAATTTCATTGCCAGTGCTGTTTAGCCTCCAGGTAAATAATGAACTAACACAGACCAAGAAAAACATCCATCCGACCAGAGCATAATTGATTTCAAACTGTACTAATTAGCTCGTTTGAGCCAGTTTCCCATTTGTGCTATAAGACTCTATAAGACAATTCCGGTTAGATTCCGCTGACAGTTTTCTGAATTTACGGTTTATGTTGCTTCATTAAGGGGCTTTGTTCTAGATTTACAGTAACGAATTTATGTTAGTAGGTCAAATACATTAATTTCAATACATTTTAACATTATTATACATTGATCTTCAAATCACAAGTGGCCAGTGCATTGACTCAGCTTTTCAGGTGCCCCACACTGTGACCAGAGCTGGCAGTGCATGAATTGGCATACACAAATGAGCTTACTAACAACATCCATGAGGAAGCCCAGTAGCAGGCTTGAGACTTACTTAGCCAGTACTAAAGCCCAGTCACTGAATCCTGACAGCTGCTCTTTTCCAGAACCTCAAAGCTAAAGTCAGCTCATATTCATGGCATCGTACTGCAATTTCACCTCCCACCAGCAGGGCAGACATTACCTTTTCCAAAGCCTCTGGATCAAGGCGTAATTCTTGAACAAAAAGGCAGGACAGAAGCAGCTAATCAATCAAAGCAAATTCCCACCTAGCCCCTGCTTTTCAGGGTCTCCAGGACGATAGCTGTCATTGTTTGTCACTAATGGCAGCAGCACCTTAATATGGAGCGACCCAGCGGAGTTATCAAAAAAAACCTCTCTAAGACAATGTTCATTGCAATCCTATAATACCACTTACCAAAGGACTGTGAAGTCCCACGGAAGTATTAAGTCAGCCTGGCACTAGTTCTTCGAGGTTAAATCAGTATCGTTACCTCACACTTAGGCAGCGAAAACCTGACATCTGTCAAGCCCAGTAACCCAGCCTGCCCCAGGCTGTAGGCTTTCACACTGGAAACGAGAGGAGGCAGAGAGTAGCCTGCAGTCCACCGCAGGCAAGTACTTCCAGGTAGTAAAATGACTGCGGGCCAGCAGGCCAGGTAGCCACGGGCTGATCTACTGAGCACAGCGGCATGACGCAGCTCTCAGGAGCGCTCGCAGCCACAGAATCCGCCACGGCGGTGTGACCCTCTGTAGCAAGGACCTACCGTACAATCCAGGAGAGGCAGGCTGAGCAGTACCTATGCCCGCAGAGCGTTTGCAGGGCTTTCTTCAGAATGTTATTGCAGTTGCTGCACAGGTACTTCTGATCAGGCACATCCTCACAAATGTTAGTGGGATATCCGAAAGGAAATTCATTTTCATCAGGAGAAGAGCTGGGGACATCCTGCGGGCCTCTGGTTGTTTTCTCAGCCATCTGAAGTAAACTACTATCAGAGATAAGGAAAAAAAAATGCTCAAACAAGCAGAAACACGCTCACTTTGATGTGAGAGAATATTTCAGGCATCAAAGTCCACGAGCAGCTCCAAACCTATGCAGTAATCTAGTGATCTGTTTAATTGAGTCTGTAGCTGACATGCGTGACTAAATGTCACAGTGGGGCTTGACTAGGTACCAGGAAATTACTGTACAGATTTAAAATTTCCCTCAAACACAACATGAAAATGAACAATGTATTAAAATGAAGGCTTGGGGTTTTCTTTCCAGAGTTTTTTAGCTTGTAGAAAGATGAAGTAAGTATTGCCATCATGTTAGAGCCACAATCCCATCGGTCCACATCACATAGAATTATTTCCTGTACAGTAAATCCCCGGCCACCTTCAATTCCCAGCACCAACAGTTGTGATTACATTTTATAGGTGCAAAAACTGAGCAAATGATGTGTTTACAGTGACTTTCCTGAAGTCACAAAACTAGTGGCGAAATGAAAAAGAAAATCTTAAGCCCACAAAAAGCTTAATGCTTGTCCTTGAACCAGATACACCTTGAGCCACACATGCCAAGGCGTCATGCATATTCAGTACTGAGTTTGGTTAACAAGAGCTGTGCAGTTGAATATTTTTGGAAATACATCAATAACTGATGCTGGTGTCTCCATAGTCGCTTGGAAAGTTCAAGAAAAGTTTTCACCCAGGGACCTGGCGCAGTTTGATCATAACAATGCCTTTATAATTTTTTTTTTCCGTTTCCCATAACAGTGCTGACACACAATAAACTATCTCAGCATTATCAACAGTAACACTGACTAACAACTCTCTAAAAAACCGAAGCCAGACTGCCCGGGCCAGGCCAGGCCCAGAAACAGCGGTGTGACATGGGCATCCCCAGATTTAACACACTCCTCTTTGAACAAACAGCGTTTTCTGTTGCCTGGCTTAGGCAATTTCCTTGGCCTCTCCAAGGCATCTGACGGGGAACTTAGCAGGGGCTGCCCGACCTGCCAAGGACAGTAAATTAAACCCGACGACACTAAATGTGCACCCGCGGGCTGAGGAAGCTGTCGGCGGGGTGGTTGGGTTGGTACCGGCCAGGACGGGGCAGACGGCACCCTCGGCGCTCACGCTGGAAACCGCCCACTGGTTTCTGCCGCAGCGCTGGCTGGGTTAACAGACCCCAGGCGTTTCCGTGGGGCTGGAAGCCCACCCCCGCGGGTGTTTTACATCGATAACGCCCGGTAAAACCGCCGCCCTGGGGCAGGGAGCGGGCCCGGCTCGGCTGGTACCCTCTGTCCCCATCCCCGGCTCGGCAGGGCAGAGAGCCGGCAGCTTCGTAGGCAGCAGGAAGCGGGGCGGA